CACGAATGATAAATCCACTATAAATTTATCCCCTCAACCTTCTAAGAAGTTCCATAATAATAATATTTTAATGATACCATTAATGTCAACCCCTTTGAACACATCTATCAACACCTTTATTGAATTAGAAAGGAAGACTCCTTCAAAGCATTCCTTTTTCATATTTGTTGGTCTATAGTTTTAGATTTATTTATACATTTCTTAGGGGAATATGTTTAAGAAATCCCTCCCATGATTGATGAATTTGTGACCCAAGATTTTACTAAAGCTCTTCCAACTTTCAAATATAATTTGCATCATGCCAAAAACGTCTTTGCACAATAATTTATTAGTAGCACTGAATCAAAAAAACATGCACAAAAAAAAATATATGCTCGTTTTGAAAAAAGTTGTATTATCCTTCCTTCTAAGAAACATTTTTCAAGCAGAAAATTTCTCTTAATATTAAACTAACCTCTATGAGCTTATTTCATATTGTAGAAATCCTTTTTCATTTTGAAAACATGAGTAAGGAGAGTTTTCTAAAATTGTGAGGACGATCAACATACATTTCCCATTGTATATAATCATTCAAGGATTCATTCTTTACATCCATTTGGAAAATTTTAAGAAAACATAATGCATGATAAACCTAGAATCATCCTCGTGGCTTCTAATCGAGTTACAAGAGCATAAGTTTCATCAAAATTTATGCATTTATGTTGATTATAACCTTTCACAACGATTCTTGTTTTATTTCTTAAAAACATTTCTAAAAACATCAAACTTGTATTGAAATACCCACTAGGTACCAATCACTTTATTTGTTAAACCTTTGGGAACAAGTTCTCAAATGTTGTTTCGTTCAAATTGATTTAACTCTTCTTGCATAGTAAGAGACCAATATTCATCAATGATATCTTCATCAATTCCATTTGGCTCAGTTTGTGAAACAAAATTCACAAAGTTACATACCTTGTTAAGGAAGTGTCTAGTGATAACTCCTTTAGAAATATCTCCAGTTATATTTTGAATAGGATGGTTTTGGTCATTCTCCATTCCTTTGGAAGATCTTGATGATCTACAGGATTTTCTTCAATAATAATTTGATCTTGAAATTTATCTTAATCATATTCTACATCTTGATATTTATATTTATCCTCTATAGTTATATTTTCAAGGATACCTAAACAATTAACAACCTATACTTCTACCTACTAGGGGTTAGTTCAACAATGGTAATATGTATGAATTCTTCTATAGTTATGGTCTTTTAAAAAAGAAGTTTTAAAATAGGAAGAAGATTTTATTTCAAATTTTTTAACGACCATGCGTATAGAAAAATTAAATATACTTTATTACCTTTTTTTAACACAAATTACTCAATATTAAGTAACTTGTTATATACAACTTTAAACAATTTAAACAACTCAAAGATATGATTCAGATCATACCAAAAAATCATAAGTCCAATGATTTTGCCTTGTTTTGTTATACGGAGAAACTTCTCTTCTCGTAGGAGTGAGGTAAGAGAACATATTTTTTCTTTAGTCATATGACTTGAAGAGCCATTGTAGATATGATCTTTTGAATTTAAGTTGTCAAGTATATTTGCATCACAGTTTGACTTTTTGATCTTTGATACCTAATTCTTTTTTTATCCTTTGATGTTAGTGGTACGCATATTATGAGAAAACATATTTCTCATTTTACGTTCACAATGTTCTTTATAAAAATATTGGGGAGGATATCCCTTCATGTTTTCACAAATTTTCTTAATAAAAAAATAACATAGCAATATGACCATTTTTATTACAATAAATTCATTTTAGGATTTTGCATTTAGATGTTGGTTGGGAATTTCAAATATTGCTAAAACTTTTACTATTGTTCTTAGGTTCATAACCAAGACCAACCTTATTGTAAGACGCCTTTTGGTTAACTAACAAAAGATTCAAGTTGTCTCTTCCTTTAGTGAATTTATCAAGTGTATTATACCCACAATTTTGACAGATTTTCTTTGTATGATTTTAAAGAGAATCTTCTTTTAGATATGTGAACTAGCCCATTTGGTAGTGAAGAAAGGGTTTAAAAAATTCCACCTTTCTCATTCCCATTTTTAGTGAATTTTTCTCTTTTTGTTGTTTTTACCATTATTTCTAATTTTTGTGTTATATTCAAAATCAAAAAATATCAAAAAAGTCCACACAGCCGTTCCCAGCCACACTCTGATCGCACATCAACTCTGTTGTGTCTGCCGGTAGTCATCGTCATCAATGTCAGTGAGTTTGTTTTCATGCTTTTTTCTCATGGGTATGTTTATGGTTGTTGTTTTATTCTATATTATATGATTTTGCTCAATTAAGAGCATCTTTAATGAGAGTAAACTAAATGGGTAAACTAAGATATTTTTTTGTGGGTCCAAAGTATTTTGTAGGATTTAAAAAATTTATAGTTGATTTGAGTAGTTTTTACTTTAATGATGGTTGTCTATAAGAAATCAAAACTTGACCCCACATTTTATATTTTTTATTCAAGTTACCATTAATTTAATTATTTTAATTAAAATGCATACAATTTTTTTTATAAAATTTACCTTAAAAACTTAGAAATAATATTAAATATATTTTATTATAAAATTAAAAATGATACAAAATTCACAACAATAATACATAAAAAAAATTACATTTTCATAGGAATATAAAATAATACATGACAATAAGCAGCAAATTATATTTTAACAGAAATATAAAATAAGACAAACTAACTTTCGTTGTTCTCATGACCAAATCTCTCCCAAATATGCTCCACCAAGTCTGCTTGAAGTTGGCAATGATTTTGCCTTTGATGAACATGTGTTATCCTTTCAAACATTGTTTTCAAGTTGGGAATTGGACCAGTAGATACTTCAGTTGTGGAGAAATTATTATCAACATGGTCGTAATCAAAATTACCAGCATATGTGTCTCGCTCATCTTCGACAATCATGTTATGCAATATGATACATGCTAACATTATATGTTTCATTGTATTCACATGCCAAGCACGCGCTGGACCACGTACAATAGAGAATCGGGCTTGGAGCATTCCAAATGTCCGTTCAACATCCTTCCGTGCTGATTCTTGTCGTTGGGCAAATAACTTTCTCTTTTCTCCTTGCGGCATATGGATGGTCTTGACAAATGTTGCCCACTCAGGATAAATGTCATCCGCTAGGTAGTACCCCATATGATATGTTGTTCGATTCATCGAGTATTGTACTGCGGGAGCTTTTCCATTCAAAACATCATTAAACACATCAGACGTGTTTAACACATTAATGTCGTTGTTAGAACCCGCAGTTCCAAAATATGCATGTCAAATCCATAAGTCTTGAGATGCCACAACTTCAAGCATGATGTGGGTTTACCATGATCACCTCTAGAAAATTGACCTTTCCATGCGACAGGACAATTTTTCCATTCCCAATGCATACAATCAATTGAACCCAACATACCTGGAAAGCCGCGTGCCGCGTTAATTTGTAGTAGGCGTGCAATGTCTTCATTGTTTGGCCTTCTCATGTATTGAGCACCAAATATTATGCACACGCCTATTACAAACCTGTCTAAGTACTCCAATGTCGTGCTTTCTCCAATTCGAACATAGTCATCCACACTGTCAGCTGGTGATCCATATGCTAGAATACGAAGAGCAGTTGTGCACTTCTGCAATGGTGAAAGACCCATTCTACCCACTGCATCAATCCTTCTTTGAAAGTACTCATCATGATTTCCAAGAGCTTCAACAATGTGAAGGAACACATGTCTTCGCATACGGAACCTTCATCTGAATTGAGCCTTCGTGTATACAAGATTTTCAGAGAAGTAGTCATTGAACAATTGATGATGCCCTTCCTCACGACTTCGATCTATCACCGTTCTTCTTTTTCTATGCTTACTTGTATTGTTGGCCTGTTGTTGCGCCTCTCATACCAACCTTATCACATCTTCCTCAGTGTTGTCGTTAAGGCAATAATCTACGACTTCATTCCAGATTTTATCCCATTCAGCATTTGGATCCATGGAAGATATGATGAAAATAATATAATGGGAAAACATGTGAGGTATATATATGCTAGTTTTATAACGGCTAGTTTACAACGGCTAATTTTATAACGGCTAGTTTACAACGGCTAGTTTTTTTTATAACGGCTAGTTTTACATAGCTAATTTGAAACATAGATACAAAATTGAAATAACAATAATTTAAAACAAAATTACAATAATATGAAATGCATATTCAAACCTAAACAATAATAATAATAATAATAATAATAATAATAATAATACACCTAGCTTCTCTTGAAGTACTTCTCTTTGATACGTTGACAAATTTCTTCATGCTCTCGGCGTTGCTCATCATCCATTGTTGATTTGTCTTTCATGAGAATTTCATACAACACGGGTATGCTCTCTGCCAACTTTGCTTCAGCTATTTTACCATAGATAGCTAATTTCTTTTCTGAGGCACTTTCCATGCCAGTCAAATCCACTATGGGTGTTATAGATGGAGATGCTTTTCCATTGCCCTTCCTTTTTGCCGCCTTTTGTCCTGATGGGCGGTCGTTCTGAGTTGCACTGTTGTATTCTGAACAATCTATGGGATTTTTTGGATTAGATGACGATGAATATGTTCCAGTAGAGGATATATTTGATCTCTTTGAAGAGTTGTTCATTTCTTGCCCCTTCCACTTAGGTTCATCCTTCAACAACCTCCACACGTGCTCCATTGTGAAACGTTGATGATGCACTTGGACAAAAATTTTACGTGCCTCTTCCATGACATCTGTCTCAGACTGTCCACTTTTCTTGTTAGCAACAACTAGTTTGTAGTTTCTGCAAAACCATTCACAATGTTTATTCAATAGATGCCATCGAGATTTGAGTGTAGACCACTCTCTCGCTATAAGTGGTCCACAATAGTTGTTATAGCCATCTTTGATTCTACCCAAAAACTATCATCTTTTTGGTCAACTCCGACTATTGAATCTTTGGAAATTTAAGCCATGTCTGAATAAGCAATTTATCTTCTTCTTCTAAGAACTTGAGACGCTGTTTTTTTTGGGTTGAACGTTCTCCTTCTTCCGTAAAAGTAATATTTTCTAGACCATCTTGAGTGAAGTTGCCTGGCACTTGAGAATCTGTAGTGGACCCAATTGGTGATTCTGATTCAACGTTAGAAGACTCTACAACGTCGATGGTTGGTGGTGGTTGAAACATAAACGACCGGGTATATTGAGAATTATTGCCGGTAGAGAATGGTGGTGATTGAAACATAAAAGGCTGGAGATTTTGAGAACCGTCACCAATAGGGAGCGATTGAAACATAAAAGGCCGGGTATATTGAGAATTGTTTCCGGTAAAAAATGGTGGTGATTGAAACATAAAAGGCTGGAGATTTTGAGAACCGTCACCAATAGGGAGCGATGGCCGCTGACACATTTGAAAATTTTGAGATCTATTTAATAAATAAATAAGATTGAAAATTGAAAGAAAAAAATTTAGAAGTAAAATTGTGTGTAAAAAAAGTTAAAGTTTCTATAGAATTTATAGAAGGTAGAAAATGGTAATATAACCGTTACTATTTTCAAATATCATGCCGTTACTTTAATGCCGTTGGAATATTTTATTAATATTAAATAATATTATAATATGTTTCACATTAAATAGTTTACGTTAACAATATAGATAATGAAAACTAAACTTTAGTTCATTAAATACCATGTCAGCTCTACTATAATGCAAATTCTTTATTACTAACGTAAGCTATACAAAAATTTGGTGTTTAACAACTATGCGCTAAAGTTGCTCTAAAATGAAGGAAAATAATAGTTTTGTATGAGGTGCATCTGAATTTTGAGAGAAGGGATAAAAAGATGAGTATGAGAGGGAGGGGGAAATGTAAAATTTGCACTTTTTTTTTGTTTTTTTCCTAGTGTGGTAATCACTTGTTTTTTTCCATTATTTTTTAATATTAAGGGCCGCCACATGTTGACATGTGAGTGGGCCATGTTTTTTTCATTTTGAAAATCTTGTTGACCAGGAAAGCTACAAAGGGGCATGCCCCACCCTTCCACTACACATATATACTGCTTTCTTTTGTTTTAAGTTTAATTGTTTATTTTATAAATTAGGACTTATTATGGTTAAGTAGAATGAGCTTTAAATCATTGGACCTCACATATCTCTTTTTACTAATTTAACTATAAATACACCTTCTTTATTTTTTTAAAATTAATTTTTTTGATGGTTTAGTTAATCAATTTTTGAATTTTTTTAATTAATTTAATTCTTACCATTCAAATTAAAATTTAATTGTGTTAGCCGTTTATTTCCATTGGTCCTTGGAATTTGATATAAAGATTTGTTTTTATAATTAGGCTATTTTAATTTTAAAAAATAATAAATGTACAAAAAAAAAATATATGTGTTTATATTTTTTTTAATTACAAAAATTAATGAATAAATCTCCTCTTGATGGGTATCTCAAAATTAACAACTCACTCTGAATTAGGTCTTTCTCTTTGGTGTTAGTATAGGTTCTCATCTTTGATTCATATTTTAAAAAAAATATTTCCATCTTCTTTTAAATCAAGATGCCAAGGGAGAAACCTTCTCGTAAATAACTCGACTCCCTGTATGTAAATCAAACTATTTTATTAATCAAAGTAAACCAAATGTTTCGCAAATAAATGGACGAGGGATACACATCCACCTTGTCCCCGAGTAATTGATTAATTGACGTCTGTCACAGTGATCGATTACTTCAAATCAAATCAATTTAAAAACAATCTTCACACATCAAGTCTTTTTGTGTCTTTACGCTCTTAAGTCAAAATAAACCTTTTCATAAAAGAGTAGGCTAGTCCTTTTAACGCAAATACAAACATCACTTAAACCTCCTTCGTGCGAGCATACAGACATACATTTAATAACTAAAATGAGACCTAACATTATTTCCTAAAATCAATCAATCCACAAGTATTTTTTTTATCGAACTATAAGGCTCTGAGTCTCTCATTGTACATGAGGGCACGTAGGAGCGGGGTTTTGGAATCCTGTCGAGCACAATAATAATGAAAAATGTTTTTCCCTTTTTTTATTTGTAAATAATTTCTATGTTGTTATAAATAATTCTCTCTTTTTAAAAAAAAATATTTTAATGAACGTCTTGATGAATATGATTAAACTAGAACAAAATATTGCTAACAAACTCTTAACCCTTATAACTTTTAGAAGATTCAACGGATGCGAGGGGTGCTAGTACCTTCCTCACGTATAGATGACTTTCGAATCCTAAATTTGATTGTGATGACCATCTTATCCATTTTATCCTCTTAGGATTTTATCGTCATTTCCTTTTTCCTTAGGAATAAATAAAGAACGGTGGTGACTCTGTTAGTCATATGTGAACATACAATGCACTCGCGAGGTTGTATTTTTCAAGATGCGACAATATCGTCAACTTTATTTTTCAAAATCTCACATTGATCACACTTGATATATTCATCTAATAATTTGTGAGAAGATGAGGATTTTTGAATTATATCATCTTGTCTATCTTTAAGACTTTCTATTTCTTCCAATAGGTTTTTATTTTTCAATTTGAGGGAAGAAATAGTGTCCTTAGTTAGCTTTTGATAAATGTGAAACAATTTTTAATAAGAAAATTAATAGGTAACCTCATCTTCTTCATCATTTCCCATGAGACACGTGTTTGTTTCTTCCTTATCTAAGGACTCCACATCATTGTCATCCCAAAAATATGTAGGCTCTCTTAATTTCTCTTTGCAGTTTCTTGAATCTTCTCTGATTCTGGGTTCTTCTCTAGTTTTAAGGGTAGTTTGGTCTTATGTGTCCTTACTTTCCACATTGGTGGAATATGGGAATGAAAGATTATATTTCTTTATTTTTCTCTTAGAAACTTGAAATTTGTTTTTAGTGTCTTAGGAACTCATTGAATTTTTAAAACACGAGTTTCATGTCTATATTAATCTTGCTTTGACAGCTGTCATATTCTGATTCTATTTCTTTGATGTTAATAGCATTTAGTGTAATATTTTTCCTCTTATTCTTGTCACCTTCATCATCCGCAATTCTCTTCGGCTCTATATCATTACCTATAATTTACCAAAGAGGCTAGACCATATCATGCCTGACCTAGGAGTAACTTAAGAGACTATGAACTAGAGTGATCTTGTTTAGTCCCAAAGAGGCTAGACCATATCATGCCTGACCCAGAAGTAACATAAGAAAATATAGGTGTGTAAGGGCAACATTATATGGCAAGCATGTGAGCTCGTCCGACTCAATGTCTCTTGGGCATGGATCTCCCGATTCAGCCCAAGCACATTAAAATGTGTCAACAAGTGTGTGTTGTAAAGGAATGCAATTGCCCATCCTTATTAAGGGAGAAAATTGATTTTTCATATCTCAATGATCTGACTAACTGAGTGGGCATTGGAACCGATCCATTGATAACAACTTAATCTAAGTGGTCAAGTTTATAAATACATCAACGACATGGTTGAGGAGGATGATCACTTTTTACAAAAACTGTCTTATACTCCATAACTTCATTACGAGGACAAAGTTCATACTATTGTATTTATCACATGTCCACTATAAAGGGGAAAATTTTTTAAAGGTCGATGATTTCAACTATCTATTCATTAAAATAAACTACCACCAAATTTTTTAATATATCATTTTCTTTTTAAAAACTGTATTAGTAAAAGGGTATATTTGTAATTAACAAATGCTACAAAAATTGAAAGTACCTTTTTTTGCCACTTCATTCATTTTCTACTTTTTACTTTAAACTTTCTCACTCTTTCTTTTATTCTTTTAATTCAAATTTCAAAATTTCTCCACATTTCTTTTTCTCACACTTTCTTATTTTCATTTTAATTTTTTCTCTCTAAATTTTATTTTTTCTATTTTATTTTTTTAAACATAAATAACAAAGTTCGAACCTCTTTTTAATTTAATGAAGAAGAACATAGAAAAATGTTGAAAATTATTATAAAAATATTCAAAATTTATATATAAAATAAAAATATAATTATTATATATAAAAATATTCAAAATTTATATGATTATTTATTGTTCAATTTATAATTAACTAACTTAATTGAAATTGACATGTGTATCTAAATACATTTTATACTATATCAAATAGAAAGTTAGTGATGTACTGCACACAACCAACTTTGCATTTCACGGTTGTAGGAATGTTATGTGATAATAATTTTTTGTGTTTTAAAAGAAGTTCAAATTTTTTTTTTTATAAAAACTAATTTTTTTTTTAAAATTTAGTTTATATAAAAAAATATTATCCATAGATATCTGGAAATATCCACGGATATCGTAAAACCTGCGGATTATCCACTTAACGGAGATCCGCATGAATATGAGACGGATATGGATATCATATTTATCCAACGGGGCGGATACGAATATCATAGTATCTATTCCCATGGATATCCATTTATATCCCTAGTGCACACAACCAACTTTGCGTTTCATGGTTCACTATCAGGACAATATCTATTTTATTTTAATAAAAAATTATCTTTATTTGAAAGAATTTTTTTTTTTATTTTCAAATGCGAATTATTTTCTCCATCTCACATGTCTCTTTTTTATATGATTATTTAATACAATTGAGTTTAAATGATCATTGTTCATTTTACAATTAAGTAACACATTATAAAGTAACATATATATCTAAAAACATTTTATTAGGGCTGGAAATGAGTCGAGTCGAGTCGAACTCACCTCAGCTCGGCTCGACTCGTTAAGAATTGTTCGAATTCGAGTTCGAGTTCGAGTTTGACACGAACTTTTTTTTAAGCTCAAACTCGACTCGTTATAAGTTCACGAACAGTTCGGTTCGACTTGTTAGGTTCATCTCATTAGGTTCAGCTCACATGGTTCACGAACTTAAAAACTATTTTTTTAAATATATATATATATATATATATATATATATATATATATATATATATATATATATATATATATATATATATATATATATATATATATATATATATATATATATATATATATATATATATATATATATATATATATATATATATATATATATATATATATATATATATATATATATATATATATATATATATATATATATATATATATATTAGTATATTTGACATTTTAAATAAATATATATATTTTAAATAAAACATTAAAATAAAATAAAAGTTATCATATTGAAATTTAACTTTATCTTCGAAATCTACTAATTCAAAACCTACACAACTTTCAAGAGATACATTTGAGAGTCTAATTCAAAAACTACTAAATTGAAGATTAAATTTGTCTAAGATTTGAAGTAAATATTTAAACCTAATCTTAAAGACAGTATAATTCTTTTCATATGTAATCGAGTTGACTCATGAACCTAACGAGTCGAACTATGTATAGTTCAAGTTCAGCTCATTTAGTTAACGAACTTAATTTTTCGCTCAGACTCAACTCATTTGGTTCATGAACCTAGTTCAAGGATTTAATTGTCGAGTCGAATTCCGAACTATCTTCGAGTTGGTTTGGTTCATTGTCAGCCCTAATTATATCAAATTGAATACCACTCAATAATAATGCACATCACTAACTTTCTATTTTATGAATTACTATTAGAACAATATCTATTTTATTTTAACCAACAATTATTTTTAATTAAGAGATAAATTCTTTATTTTAAAATATAATAATTTTTTTTTAAATTATTTTTTTCATTTCAAATTTACACGTATATTTAAATATATTCTATACTATAGACGCACGGGTATCTTGCTAGTTGTAATATAAAAAATTAAAAGAAAATTGTTTAAAAGCTGACGGTTTTGTAGTAACATAGAAGAAAAAGAAACTAGTATAAAGACAGATGGTTTGCACTCACATGGCGTTGTCTTTGCAAACTTAATCATGAATGCTAAATGTTTCATTCTTATCCAATTTTTAAAGTGCATTTTAAGTCCGTGGTCTCCTTACCTAATATTTATTCTCAAAGATGTGATTATACTCCACCAACATGTCTTGTATTAGTAATCAATCACATAAACTAATCCATAAAATCAATGACAATCTTCTTTATAAAGAGTGCATAAAAGAAGATAACCACCGTCCACCATGCATTTACAATTAAGGGTTGAAATTGACATTTCCACAATTTTGTGAATGTCAAGTTCAATGTATGAATCAATCTTCCAGTTTAATATAATGTATCCACCTGATATTAAACACTTTGGCCTAACAAATCATTTAAGTAAGCATTAATTTGTTGTTCATGTACTAAGTAAGAATATGTTTCATTTTCAAAAGATAGTATCAAATTAGGATATAAGTACAATTACTATCATTTTCTTTTTCTCTTACATTTAGTTTTTCTCATTTATTTTTATTCAACAATATGTTTTAATATTTACACCTTTTATATTTTTAAGAGTGAAAATTTAGTTTAATTTAAAAAAAAATCATTTTTTTACAAAAACAAACTTAACACATTTTATTCAATAAGTAATGTTCAATACAACGAGAAATCAAATTAATAATATTACGTCTAGCCAAAGAATCAACCGCATTCTCTAAGGAGTGGACAACCATATTCGTTTGACGCTTAACAAACTTTATCTCAAAGTTAGGATAAATTTGTAAAAAATTTGGGATAGAACGAATAAGTAAACTAAACTCATAAATACCACTATTATTTGACAGAATACCTTGGATCACGCATTGGGAATCAATTTCGAAGATAACATTATCCATATGCATTTCAATAGCTCCTTGTATTGCCTCTTTGAGGGTCAAGGCTTCCGCTTCTATAATGGGTTGGTTACCAAAAACCCAAGTGTTGCGGTGATAATAGAATACCAAAGGAAAGGTTAAAGAAAGGAAAAACCTATTTTTGCATCGTAAACACAATGCGGGGAAAGATCTAGGGTTCGGGGGTTGGTTAAGCTTAGGGAAGGTATTAGCACCCTAAACTTATGTAGTACTCTACAGGAACCTCTTGTTCTAATGTTGCTATTTTGCTAAAATATCTGCTTAAGGGTATATGCTAAGGGTTAGTCCTAAGTTTACTCGCCAAGATTCGCATCTTGTGCTTACTATCCGAGGTAGGGGATGGAATCAGAGTAATCGTAGTTCCCCTCAAGAGGGAGGTAATATAAACTTCTTGATTGTGGTCAAGGTTTCAAGGGGGATGTAAATGTTCATAAGGAAGCGCTTACGTGGAGTGCGGCGACTTCTATTTCTACGTTGTAGATCGGGCATGAAGACCTCTTAGGAAAAATTATGAATTTTTAGGACAAAGTTAGCATTTAATTTGTAACTTAACAAATGTAAATATCTGAATATGTTGTAATAAAATTTTTACAGAAATTGAATAAATAAATTCAATCTTTAATAAATAAATTTTTATTTTTCGGCTAAATTCAGTCCATATTTTCTTTCGACTACTTGACATTTCACAATTTGAATTTGGCAATTAACAATTTTGCACAATACTTGAAATTAAATACGTAACTTCTGAGTTCAGAACTAATCCCCTGACGATTAACTCGTATTCGATAATAAAATTGGTGAATATGGCCTTGAACAGATAAACAGAGAAATCCAATTTAGTGGCAAAACGAACTTTCCTCCGCATTTAAAATCCAGACTGTATCTTGAATAACCTGACTTTGGTACTCCGAATCAATTCAACTGATACTTGTGACCAAACCAACTAACATTATTTATGAACTTGATGCAAACCATAATTTCACTGTTCCTCCAAAAATTAATTTGTAACCAGTAAAAAAACAGGAAAATGTGCGTTTGTTAGAATAAATTCCTTGAAGCCGACTCTCGCACCGATTTAACCCAAATTTCAACGCCTTCAACTCTATACGGTTTATGAATCCAACAAAATTTCAAACCCAACTGACGACTAAATCCCGGTTCTCGAATAAAGATGTATTGTGTCACGTGGAATCTGACGTCAATATCGTCATGGAATTCAACCCATTCTCAGATAAAAATCGCGTAAATCGGAGATAGAAACCCTAATTGTTTGAGGACTTTCTGATGATGACTTTGCCTCATAATCGTCAACAGACTGTAAATTGACGACTCTTTTTCCCTTCATGAATTGAAGTGCGCACAATGTTATTATCCTGCAAAAACAACAGACTGAGCAAACTGGTTAGCGGTTAGTTAAAATGCAATGCAGAACAAAATGAAATGCAAAATGAACCTAATAATCTAAGGGTAAAATTTTGGGTATGACACCAAACAACACTTGCATAGACAAATTTTCCCAAGTGATCTCTCACACACCAATCCCTATTTGTAGTACCACGATTGATGTTAAAACATGCGTCAACATTGCATTTTACCTTCCCTACATTAGGCGAGCACCAAGAAATTAAATGATGTTGGATAATATCACTAACATGAATCTCTTGCGTAGAAAACCAATCTTTCCAATTTCAAAAAGCAAGCATAGCAAGTCTAGATCCTTCCTCTTGACCATTATTCCAAACCAGATTATTTCTGTTCTTCCAAATCACATCTAACATAACTGCAACTCTACCTACAATCCTTCTATCCTCAGTATTAAGAATCAAGGATTTGACATTATCAAAGGAATGTAAATGAGGATCAATAATATTATACAAACCTGTTGTTCGCCTACAATGATTGATGGCATCACATCCAAAGAAGACATGCCAATCATCTTCCACCACATTCCCACAAAACTGACAACCCACCAGGCACTGGACATAATGATGAAAAAGTCTCAAGCAAGTCAGCAGACATCCCCTACAAATTCTCCAAAAGAGGTGTTTGGCTCTAGGAGGAGCCTTAATATTCCACATGTTATTCCAATCCCCATCCTCCCTTCTATACCCTAAGTTCATATGAATCTTCCTTTCATATTCTATAACCACTTCCTCCACTAATGAAACATGTAGAATATCCCCAACTACTGCATGATCAAACAATTCTCTTATCACCTCAGCATTCCATTGTTTAACATTAGACAATAAAATAAGTTGAACAATAATCTCATATGCACTTTGAGCTTGACGACTGCTCAAGCAACCTTCTACTCTGCCTCTAACCCAAGGTGAATTCATCACCATAATGTTACTTCCATCTCCAATACTCCACCTGTAACAAAAAGTTAAAATTTCCCTAGCTTGCCAAAGACTTCTCCAAACACAAATAGGATTATTACCCAAATTAGATTCAAAGAAAAAGGATCTAGGATAACACCTTGCTACATAAATAGGATTATTACCCAAATTAGATTCAAAGAAAAATGATCTAGGATAATACCTTTCTTTAAGAAAATTATGGAGGTGATAAAAATACATAAGAAGGGGGGCGATTGAATTATGTATTGTAAAAATTAGATTTACTTCTGAACCAGAGTTCATATTTTAAGAACTGAGTTCAGAATCTGATAAGGTACAATAGAAATAGAAACATAAGCAAAGTAAAAATAGAAAATAACATACAATAGTTAACCAGGTTCCTCTCCCAACTGAGAGTACTCCAGTCCCCTTTCCAAGCAAGAGATTTTCCACTATAATCAACTAGATTACACTTGCTTATACACACTTGTATAAGACTTTTCTTTTTGCTCAGACCACTTGTCCAAGCCTTCCCTTGCTTAGAACTCATGTCTAAGACTTTCCTCTGCTCAATTAGCTCCTGACCAAGACTTATCTTGCTTAAACAACCTGCATAAGACTTTACCTTGCTTAGAGCTCGCGTCTAAGAGTTTTCCTTTGCTTAGAGCTTGTGTCTAAGACTTTCCCTTGCTTAACCAGTTTCTGATTAAGACTTTTCTTTGCTTAGAGCCCGTGTCTAAGACTTCACCTTGCTCAAGTCTACAACAAGAGACTTATATCTAAACAGATAGTTTAGAGAAGGAATAACTTACAATAACACTTGATAAAATATCATAGGTGTTCAAATTAATAAAACACACTTTTACAAAGATTCTTAATCAACACAAGAATAAAAACTCTTAACAGACTCAACTTTTTGATAGTGATGCGTGTATTTCTCAGTTGTATTTGCAACGTTATTTCTTGGTTGATCTTTAAATCTTTAGCTGCTTTTTATAGCTAAAGAAAATAGATACGTTGGAGCATCTTCAATGGCTACAATCAGACCAATTCTTCTAGTACATCTTCTTTTCCAATAAAGAAAGTGTTGGAACTTTTAGTCACAAGAATATCCATGAAATAAGGCATTTGTTCTAAGGATACAACCATGATTCAAGTACAACACAACCTGTAGAAGATAATTTCAATAAATCTTGAGTCCCGTGTTAGCAGAATTGACTTGACATTACTCAACATCAAAGGCAACATAACACACTTCTGAACTGGAGTGTACTAACAACTGCCTTTCTGATCAGACTACCTCGAGAGAGCATGATCAAAACTAAACCAAAGTCATTTCAGTGTCAGAACCAGTTCCATCAAGTAAATATAATTCTGCACACACAAACTAGCTAGTTAGAGATCCTAATTAATTTTCAAATACTTTATTATCATCAAAACCTTAGAGGATGCATGGTATGAACCAAACTTGTTTCAATAATCTCATCCTTTTTTATGATGACAATATTAAGTATTTAGAAAAACAATCAGAAGCAAATTAATTACTCAACAACTTTCAGGGTCTGAGGTTTGTAAGCCCTCCTGAGTCAAAAAATCTAAGAGTTGAGGTTTGTAAGCTCTTCTGCATACAGAATAATAAATCTACTCCAAGGATGATATTTGTAAACTCCCCCTAAATAAAATTACTAACCATATTTGGAACCATTATTAACCTAAAATACTCAACCCATTCTCCCCCTTTGTCATCAACCAAAAGAGAAGAGAAAGAAAAAAAACTTTAGCAATAAATAATGGTTTCAAAACTGTTCATACCTAAACACCAGTCAGGAACGAGTTTGTCAATGTTGAGCTAGAATTTGAGAAAGAATCCTACCAAAAGGAATGAGAAAAGATAATTCCTCACGAAATGTAAGAATCTCTTCTTTAAGATACTAAAACATAGTCAGAGGTAAATTGATCTTGATCCTGAAGACTAGTGCCAAAATGAAGAGTTTATCATTAAAAAAAGTCATCATGTTCCCTTTACTCTAGGCCTTAGAATGTTCCCCATAATTTGGTACCAGACTTTTGCCATAGGAGTAAGAGTAGAAGGACTTTCAGAAGGGCCTTTGTTACCATAGATGATTTGTAAAACATTTTTTGAGTTGTTGTTATACCAGTATCTTTCAACAGTGACCCCATCTACCTCACAAATAATTGCTTGACAGATGATTTTAAAGTTGATTACAATAGAAAAGACAACAGACATAATCAGACAATAATTTTGCTTACTCTAATGAATATGAGCATTGACCCAAAAGTATTTCACAAGATCGGGAAAGATGAGTCCAGAGAGTATTCATCTTATTTCTGAAAATGAATATCTGAAAAAATTTGTGAAAGATTATTCATCATGAATTCGTTGAAGTTAGTTGTATATTCCTTTAGAAAATCTAAATCAAAGATATCTTCTTTAATGAATTAAGAGGACATTTTTGTAAGAAGAAATACTAAGATGAAGAAAAGTGATTTCACATAATTATCTTATGTAGAAGATAGTCTGTGAGATCATAAAGAAAAAAAACCTTAGCAACTTAACACATATAATGCTAGAATATAAGCAAGTATGCATTAAAATGTTTGGATAGTTACGAGTCTGAATAAAAACAA